CTTGTTTGTTAGTGCACTTTATGCTTAATACTTTTCTTTTTAACTTTTTAATATTTAAAATTTGTTTAACTTTATTCCCTTGTTTTTTTACTAACCCATAGCCTGAGCCTTATTCTTACTAACCCATTGCATTAGCATTTCATTCCACTTTATTTTATTACCTGTGCACTGTTGTCTTGTCTGTCTACTGTCGCGCACTAACCGCCAAGACAAATTCCTTGTATGTTTGACATATTTTGGCCAATAAATGTTTCCTGATTCCTGATTCCTGATTCCTGATTCCTGATTCCTGATTCAATACGTAAAGATGTTCATGTAAAGATTCAAAGGTGTCACAACTTGTCAATATTTCCATTTGACGAAAAGGTCCCAGGTATGAAGATGTGGAATCGTTTTTTTGTTAATATTCACTAAAGATCTTCCTAAAATATAGTCTCAGCTTTTGATGACTTATGTTTTAGGATTGTAATCACACGTGTTCGTAGGCTTCCATTCCTGAGAAACGAAAGCGAAGGACCGTTTGTTAAAGTGTCACACCTGAACTACACGCTACAACGGGACGGTGAACCTATAAAGCTGCGTGGCCAACATCTTATCACTTACACCAGAGAAGCCGAAGCAGCATCAACAGCAAGAACCAGCCAAGGGTTGGAAGGGTTGTAACAAAAAGATTGAGACTGACAAACATGTATTATTGGGCTCTTTGTGTTTAGACAGTATTCAGTAACTTATGGCTTATGTTCTTCAATAAAGTATTTGGTATTGAAACTCCAGTCCAGTCTTGAATCTGTGCTATCACCATAACAACATACAAACAAGGAATACCAAAGAAAAAAGAAAACCACTAAGTTGAAGAAATCTGTCTAGTTGTATTTAAGACCTTTGTAAAGCTCCTGAACTGATGAGATTAGATAGAACGAATAGGAAAGATTCACTCTGGAGTTTCCAGAAGGCTGCATGAATATACAACTAAAAGGAGATATCCCAAATCTGCTAACTATAAGAGAGCTAAAAATACCTCCTACACAGTAGATCTGTGCATTAACCATTTAGGTTTTTACATTTTGAGATGATTTTGCAGGTAGAGCACCTTCCTGTAAAATAATTGACTTTGAATGTTTAATCATCTTTTCAGGTCGCTGAGCCAACTAAGGGTTTGATTTTCAAAGGTCTGATGGATGTTTTTGTTTGGCTCTTGTGTACTTCAATAACAAATTGCGCCAAAGGGAAAAATAAAAGTTCTTAAAATCTTGTTGTTTCTTCTATTTATAGAGTGTGAGAAAATATAGTCTCAACTTTTGATGCCTTATGTTTTGGGATTGTAATCATACGTGTTTGTAGGCTTCCATTACTGAGAAACAAAAGCCGAGGAGCTTTTGTTAAAGTGCCGCTCCTCAACTATCCGCTTCAACAGGTCTGTGAACATATAAAGCTGCGTGGCCAAAATCGTATCACTTACACCAGAGAAGCCAATGCAGCATCAACAGCAAGAACCAGCCACACTAAAGTAGTTGAGCATGTGAGAATGTATCTTTGTAAAGTGAATATGACACCTCTTTTTACAATCAAATACTTATAATGATGAAGGCACTTGGTAATGACAAGCCCATAAGCGACAAATGAGAGATTGTGAAAATGCGATTTTTATTATTATCTTTAGGAACACCAAACCGCTGCAGGCAGCATAGCGTCATGATGCAGGTGTCTCCAGGTAGCCATGGTAATAGTCCTTACCGAAACACGTCGGACTGCCTGGTCAGGAATCTACAAACTTGTGACTGTGTTTAAAATAATACACGTGACATCTTGACATTCTAATAATATGAGAAGGTTGGGCAGATCTGGCATGTTTGGTTCCGAATACTCAAGCCATGTGTTGCATGATCAAGGACGTAACCACACATTCTTTGGGGGGGTCGTGTCTCATGATCAAGTCTTGGTTTGATGTTAATGCATCATGTCTTAACATAAAGAAAATAACATTCATGCTCTTTGGAAATCAAAAAGAATTGGATCGGGATATTGAATTAAAAATCTGAGATAAAAAAAAAGATAAAATTAAAGGAGAATAAATTCCTTCGCGTAGGAATCAATCATAAAGTAACATGGAGACAATATATTTATTTGTATTAATTGTACAAGTCAATAGCGATACTAAATCACTATCACTTCTGTGTATATCATACTGTGTTATATTGTGTGAAGGTTTGGGGGTCAACCTATAAAACACTCATAAACACCCTTGTTACAAAAACAAGCTCTACGTATCATTAATAAAGTTGGTTTTCATGAGCACACAAACCCCCCAGGTAGCCAGCGGACTCGGCTGTGTCATTTATTCCCCCGAAACTAAGGAGAATTCAAAGACAGATTTCAATACGTAAAGATGTTCATGTAAAGATTCAAAGGTGTCACAACGATGTGGAATCGTTTTTTTTTAATCTTCACTAAAGATCGAGTAAAGATCTAAAGATTGTTGTTTCTTCTATTTATAGAGTGTGAGAAAATATAGTCTCAGCTTTTGATGACTTATGTTTTAGGATTGTAATCACACGTGTTCGTAGGCTTCCATTCCTGAGAAACGAAAGCGAAGGACCGTTTGTTAAAGTGTCACACCTGAACTACACGCTACAACGGGACAGTGAACCTATAAAGCTGCGTGGCCAACATCTTATCACTTACACCAGAGAAGCCGAAGCAGCATCAACAGCGAGAACCAGCCACACTAACTTGTTGAAACAGCTGAATGATGAGGTGAGTAGCTGTTTCTATTTTATTGATTTAATATCGTATCATTGTGTCCTAGAGCCCAAACATATTGTCATTAAGTTCATTAGTAGTTCCTTGATATATTCCCAAATTTCTGTCTTTACTTCGTTGATCTCTCCAGTGTTTCATTTATCCTGTTTTTTTAGACACTATCAAAGGGAATCAAGAAAAAATGTTCAACTTATTCTTAACAAGTATTACTTATCAGTTGTTTTCTCTAAATTGTATTTTTTCTTACTCCATTTGTCTTGGCTCACACCATTTCACTAGTTTCCTTTCTTACTTACTTGACTCCTTCTTCCTACCCCTTAAATCCTTATTTTGTCTTTCCATGCCAGAAGCAGGCCTCTTTGTGTCTGAGGGTGTTCACATTCCCTTTACAGCCTTCAGCGATTGGCTGTAATCCCAACAGTAGCCCCGCCCAGTCTGTTACCTGTTGGACTTGTTCTCTCTCTCTGGCTCCTTCTTGTGGTCAATTCTGAAACCACTCGCTTCCTTAACTTAACCTCATTAATAATAACGTAATAAGACAAAACATCATTTAACTTTTCACACCAAGGTATTAAAAAATATTTAAAAAAATAAAAAATATATAATATCACACATAATATCATTATTACCACTAGTCGTGCTTGTACTTCTTCAATTACTGACACTACCATACTTTTTCTTTGCAGCTTTCTGTTGGTCCATATTTTTTCTTCAAGGAATTGGTTGCTTCCTACAGCATTCAACACTGCTAACTCCATTTCTTTCTTCCTCCCTTCCTCAATATAAAATGATGATAATACAGCATGCTTTTGAGGATATTATATTAACCGGTGATATATTTAAATATTTGTCATTCTTATTCCACATCAGTGCTGATCAGAGTCAAACAACACTGAGGTCCAAACTGGAGGCCCTGCAGTGTCATTTTACCTGGATTCTGGAGCCCAGCAAGATCAACCTTGTACTTCACCGCGACAAGCTGGTGGACATCGGCACGGAGGATGGAAACAGCTGGCTGGGTCACATCTACAACCTGAGGGGCTTCATTCAGTGCAAGCTGGGCTCCACTGAAGACGCCCTGAGTTTCTTCCTCCAGGCTGCAGAGGCCTTCGGCCAGATGAGAAGGGCAGGTGAAGGTCCCTGGTTGGTGGTGAATTACGGGAACCTGGCTTGGCTGCACCACCTCCTGGGAGACCAAGCAGAGAGCGAGGCTTACCTTTCAAAGGTGGAAGCCATAAAGAAGAAATACCCAACTCCATCAGAGGACGAGCTCCATGCAGAGCTCTACGCTGAAAAAGCCTGGACCCTGATGATCCTCGACATAGAACGAGAGCTGGTGTCAGATTACTTCCAGAAAGCCATCCAGATGCAGCCAGACATGGTGGAGTGGAACACCAGTCACGTCATCGGGTTAGCGAGTAATTTTGTTCGAGGCAGCACAAAGATGGAGGCTGACATCTTGGATAAAATGAGAGACGCCAAGGAACAGGATCCAGAGAACTTGTACCTCGCTGCTTGCGACATTCAGATACGTGCAACGAAGAGGCAAGACGTTGCAGACGAAGCACGTGAGTTAGCCAAAAGGGTTTCAATAAACCCCGTCAGCAGCTACAGTCAGATGAGAGCAATACTTAGGGTTTACAGAACCTGTAGATTGATTGATGAGGCCATTCTTTTGGCAGCAAAGGCGGTGGAAAACAATCCAGATCAGCGTTATCTTAAGAAATTTGCTGCACTAACTCTCAAATGGAAGATTGTTTTTTTCAGCGACAGTGGCGTCGATGAGCGCATGGTTGACAGAGCAGTCATTCTCCACAAGGAGGTGATTTCTCTTTACCCTGATTCTGCATTTGTGGAGGAAATGGACCTCGCAAATATATACGCAAAGTCCAAACACAGGCAGGATGAAGCCAAACATTTGTACGGAGAACTGCTAGAAAGGAAGCTGGAACCTGCAGAGAAACAGGTGCTTTACAAACATTACGCTAAACATCTTTTATTTGATCTGAAAGATTACAACAAGTCAATAGAATATAACATGAAGGCAGCAAAGATACCGATAAATTCCTTCTATCGTGAGAGCAGCATTAAAGCTCTGGTGAAGAGTAAAAATAAAGGCAGGAACCCAAAGTGCAGAGAAATAGAGGAGTTTCTGGAAAACCTGAAAAAGCCATAGTGGGTTGTTTTTACAACCCTGGTTCCAAATCTGGAGGAGATGAAGGTGTTGCATTAGCTAAAAAACACTTAGCAATTTATTTGTGTCCTTTAAAACAGAATCTTTTCTGCTAGTGTTTACACTTTGGTAGTTTGTTTGCAGTACACGCGATGTGTATGACAAGCTGATTAATACAACGCTGTCCTTCAAATAACATCCACTGTGGACATGTGTAAATGTTTTGGTCATCATTTGATATCACATGGTTCATCAAAAAAAGATATTGATCAGATGTAATGTATATTATATTCCTGTTATTATGGTTTTCTCCTGTTAGCTGTGTATTTTAAGTTCATGTAAGAATATTACTAGTACTAGTAGCAGTATATGAAATCTGCTTTGCTGTATGCCTTTGAGTAGTGGAATATAGAAACTAATAATAATGTAACAATTTATTTGATGGACCCCTGTAACCTGAATATTACAGCCTGATACAACTGATTGGATGCATTTTAAGTATGTAAATCTGTAACACAATTCCTGTGTAAATGTATTTTTTTCTCTTTTAGTGAGTCATTGTAATTATGTGGAAGGAAGTCAAAGCAACATGAGAATTTGGTTGTACAGAGTAATGTAATTTCTACACATGACAATAAATATCTTGAATCTAGTTAAATCCACTTAAAAGAACTGTGTCTTATTTGGGGGCATTGGGGGCAATATGACCCTCAAATATATACATCTTTGTTCTTGAGTACTTGAGGAATCAGTCAAACTTCTAAAAACACACAAAAAAGAATTACGGTCTTTATTTTATGACAAATGTCACGTCAGAGGGTGAAGTTCCATCTTAACATACAGAAACATATTTTTCTACTTTTACACAGATCCAAAGAGATCAATGAAGGCCAGAACTTTATGACAATAGAGAGTACTTTTAAATCAGATTGAATCCTCTCAAATGGTTGGAACCAAAAGATCGAGGCAGAAAGGCTGCCGATGGGGTGAGTGATTGGAAACAGATGCATTCACACTGCTGAAACCAGAGGGCTTTGCATTGTTAATCTCAGAGAGGTCAGTGGTCCAAGACCTAAAGTGGAAATTACTTGAAAAATAAAACAAAATTAAAAAACATCATTGAATTTCAAAAGATTTAGAGGCAAGTTCACCAACAGAAAAAATAAAAAGGAGGAAACAGATCAATCGTTTCCTCTTCGACTCTTCTTGTGACTCTTTTTTGAACTCCTGTGATGTAAAAGAAACATAATGAGGTTAAATGGAACTGATCAAACAAATGGTTCATATCTAATTACTAATAAGATAGGAGATCCAGAAAAATAAAGGATGAAGATCATGTGATATGATCAAATAAATATACAGTTTTTTTGGGACAGTAAACGAATAAGCAGCACAACGTATCAAGAACAAAGCAATAATGATTAGTTTTTATGGAAAAATGTATTATTGGGCTTCTTGTGTTTGGAGAGTATTCAGTAACTTTGGCTTATGTTGTTCAATAACGCATTTTGCAGCTGTCTTTTTCTTTTCAAAGGACAGTATTTGTATTGAAAGTCCAGTTTTAAATCTGTGCTATTACCGTAAAAACATACAGATTTGCATATTTTAGTTATAATAACAACAGGGGTCTCACTCACCTCTCGGGGGACTTTGAGTGGCTGCGATGTCTGTGGCTTCTGTGGTGACCTGGATCAATAAGAAGAAACGAACCATCGTAATCACTTTAGAAAGCTTGTATTTTAGACACCGTTGTGCAATTGTATTTAAAACAAAAAACTACACGCAAGATCATCTTGGAGGCAGAATTCCACCGGGTGAAACACGTTGAACTTGCATAGATTAAGAGGTTCATTTTGAGAGCCCTCTTTTTTTTGGTTTGCATTTCGTTACCTGGAGATTTGGAGCGGTGGCGTCTGTCTCTGGACCGGCTGCGGTGGCGGCGGGGGCTCTTGCTGCGGTGGCGCTCTCTTCTGGGTGACGGGCTGCGTGAGTACACACAAGAAACAGACATCAATAAGCAGGTGCTACATGTGTTATATTAAAAACGGTGACCGAGGACTTCAGGTAGATCAAACGTACCTTCGTCTCTTTGGAGATCTGCTCCTCCTGGAACAAATGAAGAGTATTGGATCTGATTTAGAGCTGCACCCACAAAGTATAAGCATATGTGCACCCGTGGAGGTTTCTTATTTTACACATTTAAATCACAAACCGTCTGGGTGAGCGGCTGCGTCTGTAACGAGGCGACGGAGAACGGCGAGGCCGGTCGTTGTCACGGTAACCGTCACGGCGTCTGTGGGGCTCTGGGGTTTGGAGTCGCTCCGGCTGCAGGTGGAAGAAACAAACAATATGAGATGAAATGGGCTCAGAGTGTAACAAACACCACCATGTTCTTGTGGTCCATTAAAGACGGACACGTCTTCAATCAGAAGAGGTTCCTTGACAAAAACGGAATATAAAAAACGTGATTAACCGTAACCGGTCCTTTAAGATTATTTTCAATTTCAATGACTAATGGTTTCTACTACAACAAATGTGTGTTTTAAAACCGATTTGAAATGTACAAAATGTTCACTGTCTATGACTATATCTGCCACAGCATATTTATACCTTCTCTTCTTCCTCATCCTCTTCATCACTGCTCTCCACCTCATCCAGATCTTCCTCCAGAGCGCTGATACGTGGATCTAACATCTCAGCCTCCTCAAGGACGTGTCTTTTCCGTAATACAAGTACATACACACACACACACACACACACACACACACACACACACACACACACACACACACACACAGAGTCAGGGTTGGGGGCACATGAATCAAGTGGCGTCTGTGAACAGATGAGCCTGAACCTGCCTGGAGGCGGGGCAGAATGATGTCACACATCCTCTCTGCATGAAGAAGCTCATCCATGAACTCGTCCACGTGCATCAACTCAAATCCTAAAACAAAAGACAAAATAGTTGATGAAACATCCACCACATAGTCAGTGCTTGTTTCATACTCGTACGGTGGCCCTGAAGTGCAAAACGCAACGGCAAATAGGAAAACACAACGACATTAAGTTCTTTTGGAAAGGGTAGGGCCTTATAGCAGGAAGCAGAGGACCCTCTTAATCCGAAGCCTTTCCCCGCGACGGAAAGTGACATGGCGGATTCAAATTACCGTGACTCCTTAACTATTCTTGAACTGAGAAATTCCGCTTCCTAGATATTATGGCAATCAATAAATCAGTGGCGGGACCGAGAGGCTGTGATGAGGGGGGGAAGTGAGCGCAGCAGAAAGTCACGGAGAGATGCCGATGTTTTACGAGTGTCTTCAAAGTGTCCGACTAGTGTTTCACCATTGTTTTACCGGTGTTTTGTTGTTCAATTATATTTAGGTGTTGTAAATAAAAGTAAATAAAAGGGAGGGTACCGCGGACGCTACGGGGTGGCGGGGGTTGTGTTTTGCACTTCAGGACCACCGTATACTCGTACTCTAAATGCAACCTGAAATTAGATTTTGGTCAGATTAGTGAACCAAAAAATAAGTGCTATTTTTATTATTATCTTTAGGAACACCAAACCGCTGCAGGCAGCATAGCGTCATGATGCAGGTGTCTCCAGGTAGCCATGGTAATAGTCCTTACCGAAACACGTCGGACTGCCTGGTCAGGAATCTACAAACTTGTGACTGTGTTTAAAATAATACACGTGACATCTTGACATTCTAATAATATGAGAAGGTTGGGCAGATCTGGCATGTTTGGTTCCGAATACTCAAGCCATGTGTTGCATGATCAAGGACGTAACCACGCATTCTTTGGGGGGGTCGTGTCTCATGATCAAGTCTTGGTTTGATGTTAATGCATCATGTCTTAACATAAAGAAAATAACATTCATGCTCTTTGGAAATCAAAAAGAATTGGAATCGGATATTGAATTAAAAATCTGAGATAAAAAAAAAAAGATAAAATTAAAGGAGAATAAATTCCTCTGCGTAGGAATCAATCATAAAGTAACATGGAGACAATATATTTATTTGTATTAATTGTACAAGTCTATAGCGATGCAAAATCACTATTACTTCTGTGTATATCATACTGTGTTATATTGTGTGAAGTTGTGGGGGTCAACCTATAAAACACTCATAAACACTCTTGTTACAAAAACAAGCTCTACGTATCATTAATAAAGTTGGTTTTCATGAGCACACAAACCCCCCAGGTAGCCAGTGGACTCGGCCGTGTCATTTATTCCCAAAACTAAGGAGAATTCAAAGACAGATTTCAATACGTAAAGATGTTCATGTAAAGATTCAAAGGTGTCACAACTTGTCAATATTTCCATTTGACGAAAAGGTCCCAGGTATAAAGATGTGGAATCGTTTTTTTGTTAATATTCACTAAAGATCTTCCTAAAATATAGTCTCATCTTTTGATGACTTATGTTTTAGGATTGTAATCACACGTGTTCGTAGGCTTCCATTCCTGAGAAACGAAAGCGAAGGACCGTTTGTTAAAGTGTCACACCTGAACTACACGCTACAACGGGACGGTGAACCTATAAAGCTGCGTGGCCAACATCTTATCACTTACACCAGAGAAGCCGAAGCAGCATCAACAGCAAGAACCAGCCAAGGGTTGGAAGGGTTGTAACAAAAAGATTGAGGCTGACAAACATGTATTATTGGGCTCTTTGTGTTTAGACAGTATTCAGTAACTTATGGCTTATGTTCTTCAATAAAGTATTTGGTATTGAAACTCCAGTCCAGTCTTGAATCTGTGCTATCACCATAACAACATACAAACAAGGAATACCAAAGAAAAAAGAAAACCACTAAGTTGAAGAAATCTGTCTAGTTGTATTTAAGACCTTTGTAAAACTCCTGAACTGATGAGATTAGATAGAACGAATAGGAAAGATTCTGTAGTTTCCAGAAGGCTAAAAAGACCTCCTACACAGTAGATCTGTGCATTAACCATTTAGGTTTTTACATTTTGAGATGATTTTGCAGGTAGAGCACCTTCCTGTAAAATAATTGACTTTGAATGTTTAATCATCTTTTCAGGTCGCTGAGCCAACTAAGGGTTTGATTTTCAAAGGTCTGATGGATGTTTTTGTTTGGCTCTTGTGTACTTCAATAACAAATTGCGCCACAGGGAAAAATAAAAGTTCTTAACATCTTGTTGTTTCTTCTATTTATAGAGTGTGAGAAACTTTTGATGCCTTGTGTTTTAGGATTGTAATCATATGTGTTTGTAGGCTTCCATTACTGAGAAACAAAAGCCGAGGAGCTTTTGTTAAAGTGCCGCTCCTCAACTATCCGCTTCAACAGGTCTGTGAACATATGAAGCTGGGAGTCTTGTCTTGAGTCAAGTCTTGGTTTGATCTTAATGCATCATGTCTTAACATAAAGAAAATAACATTCATGCTCTTTGGAAATCAAAAAGAATTGGATCGGGATATTGAATTAAAAATCTGTCAAGATAAAATTAAAGGAGAATAAATTCCTTTGTGTAGGAATCAATCATAAAGTAACATGGAGACAATATATTTATTTGAGCACACAAACCCCCCCAGGTAGCCAGCGGACTCGGCTGTGTCATTTATTCCCCAAAACTAAGGAGAATTCAAGGACAGATTTCAATACGTAAAGATGTTCATGTGAAGATTCAAAGGTGTCACAACAATGTGGAATCGTTTTTTTCTAATATTCACTAAAGATCTTCCTAAAATATAGTCTCAGCTTTTGATGACTAATGTTTTAGGATTGTAATCACACGTGTTCGTAGGCTTCCATTCCTGAGAAACGAAAGCGAAGGACCGTTTGTTAAAATGTCACACCTGAACTACACGCTACAACGGGACGGTGAACCTATAAAGCTGCGTGGCCAACATCTTATCACTTACACCAGAGAAGCCGAAGCAGCATCAACAGCAAGAACCAGCCACACTAACTTGTTGAAACAGCTGAATGATGAGGTGAGCAATTGTTTCTATTTTATTGATTTAATATCTTATCATTGTGTCCTAGAGCCCAAACATATTGTCATTAAGTTCATTAGTAGTTCCTTGCTATATTCCCAAATTTCTGTCTTTACTTCGTTGATCTCTCCGGTGTTTCATTTATCCTGTTTTTTTAGACACTATCAAAGGGAATCAAGAAAAAATGTTCAACTTATTCTTAACAAGTATTACTTATCAGTTGTTTTCGCTAAATTGTATTTTTTCTTACTCCATTTGTCTTGGCTCACAGCATTTCACTAGTTTCCTTTCTTACTTACTTGACTCCTTCTTCCTACCCCTTAAATCCTTATTTTGTCTTTCCTTTCTTACTTACTTGACTCCTACTTCCTACCCGGTTAATCCTTAATTTCTCTTGCCTGCCACACCTATTTCTTCCATCCTCAAACTTCCTACTACCTTTCTTTAATAATATTCATTTCATACTCTGCTCACCTCGGGTTTTATTTCAGCCTTTGTTTTTGTCTTGCCATTATTTTATCTTTTGTCGATTCTTATGCCTCTTTTTTATCCATTCCTTCCTCCCACTGTCCCATTGCCTTCATTCCTCACTCGTCCACTCATTAGGCTTCCTTTGTCGGTTTGTCTGTTTCTCTTTTAAGATGTCCTTCTTCACGTATACTTTCCTCTCCCTACTGTGGGGATTGAACCTCTCTAAGAACACTATTCCCTTCGCCTCCAGCCGGTGGTGCAAAGTAAAAAGAACAAGCCGGCTTAAGTTTAAAATTAAAAAGGGTTTAATAACTAACAGAAACAAGCTGAATCATATAGACGACATAAACAACCAGGTTCAGGGAAGCATTGAAGCTCCTTTCCTTAACATTAGAGAATTCAAACAGCTCCTATTACGTCCACTTACACTACTTCCATCTTATTTCACTCAGTGAGGAACCTTTGAAGCCAAAAGGACTATTGGAATTCAGCCTGTGGCTTTGTTTGCCAGAAGCAGGCCTCTTTGTGTCTGGGGGTGTTCACGTTCCCTTTACAGCCTTCAGCAAATGGCTTTAATCCCAACAGTAGCCCCGCCCAGTCTCTTACCTGTTGGACTTGTTCTCTCTCTCTGGCTCCTTCTTGTGGTCAATTCTGAAACCGCTCGCTTCCTTAACTTAACCTCATTAATAATAACGTAATAAGACAAAACATCATTTAACTTTTTCACACCAAGGTATTAAAATTTTTTTTTTTAAATAAAAAAATATATAATATCACACATAATATCATTATTACCACTAGTCGTGCTTGTACTTCTTCAATTACTGACACTACCATACTTTTTCTTGTTGTTTGTTTGCTTCCTACAGCATTCAACACTGCTAACTCCATTTCTTTCTTCCTCCCTTCCTCAATGTAAAATGATGATAATACAGCAGGCTTTTGAGGATATTATATTAACCGGTGATATATTTAAATATTTGTCATTCTTATTCCACATCAGTGCTGATCAGAGTCAAACAACACTGAGGTCCAAACTGGAGGCCCTGCAGTGTCATTTTACCTGGATTCTGGAGCCCAGCAAGATCAACCTTGTACTTCACCGCGACAAGCTGTTGGAGATCGGCACGGAGGAAGGAAACAGCTGGCTGGGTCACATCTACAACCTGAGGGGCTTCATTCAGTGCAAGCTGGGCTCCACCGAAGACGCCCTGAGTTTCTTCCTCCAGGCTGCAGAGGCCTTCGGCCAGATGAGAAGGGCAGGTGAAGGTCCCTGGTTGGTGGTGAATTACGGGAACCTGGCTTGGCTGCACCACCTCCTGGGAGACCAAGCAGAGAGCGAGGCTTACCTTTCAAAGGTTGACGCCCTAAAGAAGAAATACCCAACTCCATCAGAGGACGAGCTCCATGCAGAACTCTACGCTGAAAAAGCCTGGACCCTGATGATCCTCGACATAGAACGAGAGCTGGTGTCAGATTACTTCCAGAAAGCCATCACGATGCAGCCAGACATGGTGGAGTGGAACACCAGTCACGTCATCGGGTTAGTGAGTAATTTTGTTCGAGGCAGCACAAAGATGGAGGCTGACATCTTGGATAAAATGAGAGACGCCAAGGAACAGGATCCAGAGAACTTGTACCTCGCTGCTTGCGACATTCAGATACGTGCAATGAAAGGGCAAGACGTTGCAGACGAAGCACGTGAGTTAGCCGAAAGGGTTTCAATAAACCCCGTCAGCAGCTACAGTCAGATGAGAGCAATACTTAGGGTTTACAGAACCTGTAGATTGATTGATGAGGCCATTCTTTTGGCAGCAAAGGCGGTGGAAAACAATCCAGATCAGCGTTATCTTAAGAAATTTGCTGCACTAACTCTCAAATGGAAGATTGTTTTTTCCAACTACAGTGGCGTAGATGAGCGCATGGTTGACAGAGCAGTCATTCTCCACAAGGAGGTGATTTCTCTTTACCCAGATTCTGCACTTGCGGAGGAAATGGACCTCGCAAATATATACGCAAAGTCCAAGCGCAGACAGGACGAAGCCAAACATTTGTTCCAACAACTGCTAGAAAGGAAGCTGGAACCTGCAGAGAAACAGGTGCTTTACAAACATTACGCTAAACATCTTTTATTTGATCTGAAAGATTACAACAAGTCAATAGAATATAACATGAAGGCAGCAAAGATACCGATAAATTCCCTCTATCGTGAGAGCAGCATTAAAGCTCTGGTGAAGATTAAAAATAAAGGCAGGAGCCCAAAGTGCAGAGAAATAGAGGAGTTTCTGGAAAACCTGCAAAAGCCATAGTGGGTTGTTTTTACAACCCTGGTTCCAAATCTGGAGGAGATGATGGTGTTGCATTACCTAAAAAACACTTAGCAATTTATTTGTGTCCTTTAAAACAGAAGCTTTTCTGCTAGTGTTTACACTTTGGTAGTTTGTTTGCAGTACACGCGATGTGTATGACAAGCTGATTAATACAACGCTGTCCTTCAAATAACATCCACTGTGGACATGTGTAAATGTTTTGGTCATCATTTGATATCATGGTTCATCAAAAAAAGATATTGATCAGATGTAATGTATATTATATTCCTGTTATTATGGTTTTCTCCTGTTAGCTGTGTATTTTAAGTTCATGTAAGAATATTACTAGTACTACTAGTAGCAGTATATGAAATCTGCTTTGCTGTATGCCTTTGAGTAGTGGAATATAGAAACTAATAATTACGTAACAATTTATTTGATGGACCCTGTAACCTGAATATTACAGCCTGATACAACTGATTGGATGCATTTTAAGTATGTAAATCTGTAACACAATTCCTGTGTAAATGTATTTTTTTCTCTTTTAGTGAGTCATTGTAATTATGTGGAAGGAAGTCAAAGCAACATGAGAATTTGGTTGTACAGAGTAATGTAATATCTACACATGACAATAAATATCTTGAATCTAGTTAAATCCACTTAAAAGAACTGTGTCTTATTTGGGGGCATTGGGGGCAATATGACCCTCAAATATATACATCTTTGTTCTTGAGTACTTGAGGAATCAGTCAAACTTCTAAAAACACACAAAAAAGAATTACGGTCTTTATTTTATGACAAATGTCACGTCAGAGGGTGAAGTTCCATCTTAACATACAGAAACATATTTTTCTACTTTTACACAGATCCAAAGAGATCAATGAAGGCCAGAACTTTATGACAATAGAGAGTACTTTTAAATCAGATTGAATCCTCTCAAATGGTTGGAACCAAAAGATCGAGGCAGAAAGGCTGCCGATGGGGTGAGTGATTGGAAACAGATGCATTCACACTGCTGAAACCAGAGGGCTTTGCATTGTTAATCTCAGAGAGGTCAGTGGTCCAAGACCTAAAGTGGAAATTACTTGAAAAATAAAACAAAATTAAAAAACATCATTGAATTTCAAAAGATTTAGAGGCAAGTTCACCAACAGAAAAAATAAAAAGGAGGAAACAGATCAATCATTTCCTCTTCGACTCTTCTTGTGACTCTTTTTTGAACTCCTGTGATGTAAAAGAAACATAATGAGGTTAAATGGAACTGATCAAACAAATGGTTCATATCTAATTACTAATAAGATAGGAGATCCAGAAAAATAAAGGATGAAGATCATGTGATATGATCAAATAAATATACAGTTTTTTTGGGACAGTAAACGAATAAGCAGCACAACGTATCAAGAACAAAGCAATAATGATTAGTTTTTATGGAAAAATGTATTATTGGGCTTCTTGTGTTTGGAGAGTATTCAGTAACTTTGGCTTATGTTGTTCAATAACGCATTTTGCAGCTGTCTTTTTCTTTTCAAAGGACAGTATTTGTATTGAAAGTCCAGTTTTAAATCTGTGCTATTACCGTAAAAACATACAGATTTGCATATTTTAGTTATAATAACAACAGGGGTCTCACTCACCTCTCGGGGGACTTTGAGTGGCTGCGATGTCTGTGGCTTCTGTGGTGACCTGGATCAATAAGAAGAAACGAACCATCGTAATCACTTTAGAAAGCTTGTATTTTAGACACCGTGCAATTGTATTTAAAACAAAAAACTACACGCAAGATCATCTTGGAGGCAGAATTCCACCGGGTGAAACACGTTGAACTTGCATAGATTAAGAGGTTCATTTTGAGAGCCCTCTTTTTTTTGGTTTGCATTTCGTTACCTGGAGATTTGGAGCGGTGGCGTCTGTCTCTGGACCGGCTGCGGTGGCGGCGGGGGCTCTTGCTGCGGTGGCGCTCTCTTCTGGGTGACGGGCTGCGTGAGTACACACAAGAAACAGACATCAATAAGCAGGTGCTACATGTGTTATATTAAAAAAGGTGACCGAGGACTTCAGGTAAACGTACCTTCGTCTCTTTGGAGATCTGCTCCTCCTGGAACAAATGAAGAGTATTGGATCTGATTTAGAGCTGCACCCACAAAGTATAAGCATATGTGCACCCGTGGAGGTTTCTTATTTTACACATTTAAATCACAAACCGTCTGGGTGAGCGGCTGCGTCTGTAACGAGGCGACGGAGAACGGCGAGGCCGGTCGTTGTCACGGTAACCGTCACGGCGTCTGTGGGGCTCTGGGGTTTGGAGTCGCTCCGGCTGCAGGTGGAAGAAACAAACAATATGAGATGAAATGGGCTCAGAGTGTAACAAACACCACCATGTTCTTGTGGTCCATTAAAGACGGACACGTCTTCAATCAGAAGAGGTTCCTTGACAAAAACGGAATATAAAAAACGTGATTGATCGTAACCGGTCCTTTAAGATTATTTTCAATTTCAATGACTAATGGTTTCTACTACAACAAATGTGTGTTTTAAAACCGCTTTGAATGTACAAAATGTTCACTGTCTATGACTATATCTGCCACTGCTATAGCATATTTATACCTTCTCTTCTTCCTCATCCTCTTCATCACTGCTCTCCACCTCATCCAGATCTTCCTCCAGAGCGCTGATACGTGGATCTAACATCTCAGCCTCCTCAAGGACGTGTCTTTTCCGTAATACAAGTACATACACACACACACACACACACACACACACACACACACACACACACACACACACACACACAGAGTCAGGGTTGGGGGCACATGAATCAAGTGGCGTCTGTGAACAGATGAGCCTGAACCTGCCTGGAGGCGGGGCAGAATGATGTCACACATCCTCTCTGCATGAAGAAGCTCATCCATGAACTCGTCCACGTGCATCAACTCAAATCCTAAAACAAAAGACAAAATAGTTGATGAAACATCCACCACATAGTCAGTGCTTGTTTCATACTCGTACGGTGGCCCTGAAGTGCAAAACGCAACGGCAAATAGGAAAACACAACGACATTAAGTTCTTTTGGAAAGGGTAGGGCCTTATAGCAGGAAGCAGAGGACCCTCTTAATCCGAAGCCTTTCCCCGCGACGGAAAGTGACATGGCGGATTCAAATTACCGTGACTCCTTAACTATTCTTAAACTGAGAAATTCCGCTTCCTAGATATTATGGCAATCAATAAATCAGTGGCGGGACCGAGAGGCTGTGATGAGGGGGGGAAGTGAGCGCAGCAGAAAGTCACGGAGAGATGCCGATGTTTTACGAGTGTCTTCAAAGTGTCCGACTAGTGTTTCACCATTGTTTTACCGGTGTTTTGTTGTTCAATTATATTTAGGTGTTGTAAATAAAAGTAAATAAAAGGGAGGGTACCGCGGACGCTACGGGGTGGCGGGGGTTGTGTTTTGCACTTCAGGACCACCGTATACTCGTACTCTAAATGCAACCTGAAATTAGATTTTGGTCAGATTAGTGAACCAAAAAATAAGTGCGATTTTTATTATTATCTTTAGGAACACCAAACCGCTGCAGGCAGCATAGCGTCATGATGCAGGTGTCTCCAGGTAGCCATGGTAATAGTCCTTACCGAAACACGTCGGACTGCCTGGTCAGGAATCTACAAACTTGTGACTGTGTTTAAAATAATACACGTGACATCTTGACATTCTAATAATATGAGAAGGTTGGGCAGATCTGGCATGTTTGGTTCCGAATACTCAAGCCATGTGTTGCATGATCAAGGACGTAACCACACATTCTTTGGGGGGGTCGTGTCTCATGATCAAGTCTTGGTTTGATGTTAATGCATCATGTCTTAACATAAAGAAAATAACATTCATGCTCTTTGGAAATCAAAAAGAATTGGATCGGGATATTGAATTAAAAATCTGAGATAAAAAAAAAGATAAAATTAAAGGAGAATAAATTCCTTCGCGTAGGAATCAATCATAAAGTAACATGGAGACAATATATTTATTTGTATTAATTGTACAAGTCAATAGCGATGCAAAATCACTATTACTTCTGTGTATATCATACTGTGTTATATTGTGTGAAGTTGTGGGGGTCAACCTATAAAACACTCATAAACACTCTTGTTACAAAAACAAGCTCTACGTATCATTAATAAAGTTGGTTTTCATGAGCACACAAACCCCCCAGGTAGCCAGTGGACTCGGCCGTGTCATTTATTCCCAAAACTAAGGAGAATTCAAAGACAGATTTCAATACGTAAAGATGTTCATGTAAAGATTCAAAGGTGTCACAACTTGTCAATATTTCCATTTGACGAAAAGGTCCCAGGTATAAAGATGTGGAATCGTTTTTTTGTTAATATTCACTAAAGATCTTCCTAAAATATAGTCTCATCTTTTGATGACTTATGTTTTAGGATTGTAATCACACGTGTTCGTAGGCTTCCATTCCTGAGAAACGAAAGCGAAGGACCGTTTGTTAAAGTGTCACACCTGAACTACACGCTACAACGGGACGGTGAACCTATAAAGCTGCGTGGCCAACATCTTATCACTTACACCAGAGAAGCCGAAGCAGCATCAACAGCAAGAACCAGCCAAGGGTTGGAAGGGTTGTAACAAAAAGATTGAGGCTGACAAACATGTATTATTGGGCTCTTTGTGTTTAGACAGTATTCAGTAACTTATGGCTTATGTTCTTCAATAAAGTATTTGGTATTGAAACTCCAGTCCAGTCTTGAATCTGTGCTATCACCATAACAACATACAAACAAGGAATACCAAAGAAAAAAGAAAACCACTAAGTTGAAGAAATCTGTCTAGTTGTATTTAAGACCTTTGTAAAACTCCTGAACTGATGAGATTAGATAGAACGAATAGGAAAGATTCTGTAGTTTCCAGAAGGCTAAAAAGACCTCCTACACAGTAGATCTGTGCATTAACCATTTAGGTTTTTACATTTTGAGATGATTTTGCAGGTAGAGCACCTTCCTGTAAAATAATTGACTTTGAATGTTTAATCATCTTTTCAGGTCGCTGAGCCAACTAAGGGTTTGATTTTCAAAGGTCTGATGGATGTTTTTGTTTGGCTCTTGTGTACTTCAATAACAAATTGCGCCACAGGGAAAAATAAAAGTTCTTAACATCTTGTTGTTTCTTCTATTTATAGAGTGTGAGAAACTTTTGATGCCTTGTGTTTTAGGATTGTAATCATATGTGTTTGTAGGCTTCCATTACTGAGAAACAAAAGCCGAGGAGCTTTTGTTAAAGTGCCGCTCCTCAACTATCCGCTTCAACAGGTCTGTGAACATATGAAGCTGGGAGTCTTGTCTTGAGTCAAGTCTTGGTTTGATCTTAATGCATCATGTCTTAACATAAAGAAAATAACATTCATGCTCTTTGGAAATCAAAAAGAATTGGATCGGGATATTGAATTAAAAATCTGTCAAGATAAAATTAAAGGAGAATAAATTCCTTTGTGTAGGAATCAATCATAAAGTAACATGGAGACAATATATTTATTTGAGCACACAAACCCCCCCAGGTAGCCAGCGGACTCGGCTGTGTCATTTATTCCCCAAAACTAAGGAGAATTCAAGGACAGATTTCAATACGTAAAGATGTTCATGTGAAGATTCAAAGGTGTCACAACAATGTGGAATCGTTTTTTTCTAATATTCACTAAAGATCTTCCTAAAATATAGTCTCAGCTTTTGATGACTAATGTTTTAGGATTGTAATCACACGTGTTCGTAGGCTTCCATTCCTGAGAAACGAAAGCGAAGGACCGTTTGTTAAAGTGTCACACCTGAACTACACGCTACAACGGGACGGTGAACCTATAAAGCTGCGTGGCCAACATCTTATCACTTACACCAGAGAAGCCAAAGCAGCATCAACAGCAAGAACCAGCCACACTAACTTGTTGAAACAGCTGAATGATGAGGTGAGCAATTGTTTCTATTTTATTGATTTAATATCTTATCATTGTGTCCTAGAGCCCAAACATATTGTCATTAAGTTCATTAGTAGTTCCTTGCTATATTCCCAAATTTCTGTCTTTACTTCGTTGATCTCTCCGGTGTTTCATTTATCCTGTTTTTTTAGACACTATCAAAGGGAATCAAGAAAAAATGTTCAACTTATTCTTAACAAGTATTACTTATCAGTTGTTTTCGCTAAATTGTATTTTTTCTTACTCCATTTGTCTTGGCTCACAGCATTTCACTAGTTTCCTTTCTTACTTACTTGACTCCTTCTTCCTACCCCTTAAATCCTTATTTTGTCTTTCCTTTCTTACTTACTTGACTCCTACTTCCTACCCGGTTAATCCTTAATTTCTCTTGCCTGCCACACCTTTTTCTTCCATCCTCAAACTTCCTACTACCTTTCTTTAATAATATTCATTTCATACTCTGCTCACCTCGGGTTTTATTTCAGCCTTTGTTTTTGTCTTGCCATTATTTTATCTTTTGTCGATTCTTATGCCTCTTTTTTATCCATTCCTTCCTCCCACTGTCCCATTGCCTTCATTCCTCACTCGTCCACTCATTAGGCTTCCTTTGTCGGTTTGTCTGTTTCTCTTTTAAGATGTCCTTCTTCACGTATACTTTCCTCTCCCTACTGTGGGGATTGAACCTCTCTAAGAACACTATTCCCGTCGCCTCCAGCCGGTGGTGCAAAGTAAAAAGAACAAGCCGGCTTAAGTTTAAAATTAAAAAGGGTTTAATAACTAACAGAAACAAGCTGAATCATATAGACGACATAAACAACCAGGTTCAGGGAAGCATTGAAGCTCCTTTCCTTAACATTAGAGAATTCAAACAGCTCCTATTACGTCCACTTACACTACTTCCATCTTATTTCACTCAGTGAGGAACCTTTGAAGCCAAAAGGACTATTGGAATTCAGCCTGTGGCTTTGTTTGCCAGAAGCAGGCCTCTTTGTGTCTGGGGGTGTTCACGTTCCCTTTACAGCCTTCAGCAAATGGCTTTAATCCCAACAGTAGCCCCGCCCAGTCTCTTACCTGTTGGACTTGTTCTCTCTCTCTGGCTCCTTCTTGTGGTCAATTCTGAAACCGCTCGCTTCCTTAACTTAACCTCATTAATAATAACGTAATAAGACAAAACATCATTTAACTTTTTCACACCAAGGTATTAAAAATTTTTTTTTTAAATAAAAAAATATATAATATCACACATAATATCATTATTACCACTAGTCGTGCTTGTACTTCTTCAATTACTGACACTACCATACTTTTTCTTGTTGTTTGTTTGCTTCCTACAGCATTCAACACTGCTAACTCCATTTCTTTCTTCCTCCCTTCCTCAATGTAAAATGATGATAATACAGCAGGCTTTTGAGGATATTATATTAACCGGTGATATATTTAAATATTTGTCATTCTTATTCCACATCAGTGCTGATCAGAGTCAAACAACACTGAGGTCCAAACTGGAGGCCCTGCAGTGTCATTTTACCTGGATTCTGGAGCCCAGCAAGATCAACCTTGTACTTCACCGCGACAAGCTGTTGGAGATCGGCACGGAGGAAGGAAACAGCTGGCTGGGTCACATCTACAACCTGAGGGGCTTCATTCAGTGCAAGCTGGGCTCCACCGAAGACGCCCTGAGTTTCTTCCTCCAGGCTGCAGAGGCCTTCGGCCAGATGAGAAGGGCAGGTGAAGGTCCCTGGTTGGTGGTGAATTACGGGAACCTGGCTTGGCTGCACCACCTCCTGGGACACCAAGCAGAGAGCGAGGCTTACCTTTCAAAGGTTGACGCCCTAAAGAAGAAATACCCAACTCCATCAGAGGACGAGCTCCATGCAGAACTCTACGCTGAAAAAGCCTGGACCCTGATGATCCTCGACATAGAACGAGAGCTGGTGTCAGATTACTTCCAGAAAGCCATCACGATGCAGCCAGACATGGTGGAGTGGAACACCAGTCACGTCATCGGGTTAGCGAGTAATTTTGTTCGAGGCAGCACAAAGATGGAGGCTGACATCTTGGATAAAATGAGAGACGCCAAGGAACAGGATCCAGAGAACTTGTACCTCGCTGCTTGCGACATTCAGATACGTGCAATGAAAGGGCAAGACGTTGCAGACGAAGCACGTGAGTTAGCCGAAAGGGTTTCAATAAACCCCGTCAGCAGCTACAGTCAGATGAGAGCAATACTTAGGGTTTACAGAACCTGTAGATTGATTGATGAGGCCATTCTTTTGGCAGCAAAGGCGGTGGAAAACAATCCAGATCAGCGTTATCTTAAGAAATTTGCTGCACTAACTCTCAAATGGAAGATTGTTTTTTCCAACTACAGTGGCGTAGATGAGCGCATGGTTGACAGAGCAGTCATTCTCCACAAGGAGGTGATTTCTCTTTACCCAGATTCTGCACTTGCGGAGGAAATGGACCTCGCAAATATATACGCAAAGTCCAAGCGCAGACAGGACGAAGCCAAACATTTGTTCCAACAACTGCTAGAAAGGAAGCTGGAACCTGCAGAGAAACAGGTGCTTTACAAACATTACGCTAAACATCTTTTATTTGATCTGAAAGATTACAACAAGTCAATAGAATATAACATGAAGGCAGCAAAGATACCGATAAATTCCCTCTATCGTGAGAGCAGCATTAAAGCTCTGGTGAAGATTAAAAATAAAGGCAGGAGCCCAAAGTGCAGAGAAATAGAGGAGTTTCTGGAAAACCTGCAAAAGCCATAGTGGGTTGTTTTTACAACCCTGGTTCCAAATCTGGAGGAGATGATGGTGTTGCATTACCTAAAAAACACTTAGCAATTTATTTGTGTCCTTTAAAACAGAAGCTTTTCTGCTAGTGTTTACACTTTGGTAGTTTGTTTGCAGTACACGCGATGTGTATGACAAGCTGATTAATACAACGCTGTCCTTCAAATAACATCCACTGTGGACATGTGTAAATGTTTTGGTCATCATTTGATATCATGGTTCATCAAAAAAAGATATTGATCAGATGTAATGTATATTATATTCCTGTTATTATGGTTTTCTCCTGTTAGCTGTGTATTTTAAGTTCATGTAAGAATATTACTAGTACTACTAGTAGCAGTATATGAAATCTGCTTTGCTGTATGACTTTGAGTAGTGGAATATAGAAACTAATAATTACGTAACAATTTATTTGATGGACCCCTGTAACCTGAATATTACAGCCTGATACAACTGATTGGATGCATTTTAAGTATGTAAATCTGTAACACAATTCCTGTGTAAATGTATTTTTTTCTCTTTTAGTGAGTCATTGTAATTATGTGGAAGGAAGTCAAAGCAACATGAGAATTTGGTTGTACAGAGTAATGTAATATCTACACATGACAATAAATATCTTGAATCTAGTTAAATCCACTTAAAAGAACTGTGTCTTATTTGGGGGCATTGGGGGCAATATGACCCTCAAATATATACATCTTTGTTCTTGAGTACTTGAGGAATCAGTCAAACTTCTAAAAACACACAAAAAAGAATTACGGTCTTTATTTTATGACAAATGTCACGTCAGAGGGTGAAGTTCCATCTTAACATACAGAAACATATTTTTCTACTTTTACACAGATCCAAAGAGATCAATGAAGGCCAGAACTTTATGACAATAGAGAGTACTTTTAAATCAGATTGAATCCTCTCAAATGGTTGGAACCAAAAGATCGAGGCAGAAAGGCTGCCGATGGGGTGAGTGATTGGAAACAGATGCATTCACACTGCTGAAACCAGAGGGCTTTGCATTGTTAATCTCAGAGAGGTCAGTGGTCCAAGACCTAAAGTGGAAATTACTTGAAAAATAAAACAAAATTAAAAAACATCATTGAATTTCAAAAGATTTAGAGGCAAGTTCACCAACAGATCACAGGCAAAATAAAAAGGAGGAAACAGATCAATCGTTTCCTCTTCGACTCTTCTTGTGACTCTTTTTTGAACTCCTGTGATGTAAAAGAAACATAATGAGGTTAAATGGAACTGATCAAACAAATGGTTCATATCTAATTACTAATAAGATAGGAGATCCAGAAAAATAAAGGATGAAGATCATGTGATATGATCAAATAAATATACAGTTTTTTTGGGACAGTAAACGAATAAGCAGCACAACGTATCAAGAACAAAGCAATAATGATTAGTTTTTATGGAAAAATGTATTATTGGGCTTCTTGTGTTTGGAGAGTATTCAGTAACTTTGGCTTATGTTGTTCAATAACGCACTTTGCAGCTGTCTTTTTCTTTTCAAAGGACAGTATTTGTATTGAAAGTCCAGTTTTAAATCTGTGCTATTACCGTAAAAACATACAGATTTGCATATTTTAGTTATAATAACAACAGGGGTCTCACTCACCTCTCGGGGGACTTTGAGTGGCTGCGATGTCTGTGGCTTCTGTGGTGACCTGGATCAATAAGAAGAAACGAACCATCGTAATCACTTTAGAAAGCTTGTATTTTAGACACCGTGCAATTGTATTTAAAACAAAAAACTACACGCAAGATCATCTTGGAGGCAGAATTCCACCGGGTGAAACACGTTGAACTTGCATAGATTAAGGCGTTCATTTTGAGAGCCCTCTTTTTTTTGGTTTGCATTTCGTTACCTGGAGATTTGGAGCGGTGGCGTCTGTCTCTGGACCGGCTGCGGTGGCGGCGGGGGCTCTTGCTGCGGTGGCGCTCTCTTCTGGGTGACGGGCTGCGTGAGTACACACAAGAAACAGACATCAATAAGCAGGTGCTACATGTGTTATATTAAAAAAGGTGACCGAGGACTTCAGGTAAACGTACCTTCGTCTCTTTGGAGATCTGCTCCTCCTGGAACAAATGAAGAGTATTGGATCTGATTTAGAGCTGCACCCACAAAGTATAAGCATATGTGCACCCGTGGAGGTTTCTTATTTTACACATTTAAATCACAAACCGTCTGGGTGAGCGGCTGCGTCTGTAACGAGGCGACGGAGAACGGCGAGGCCGGTCGTTGTCACGGTAACCGTCACGGCGTCTGTGGGGCTCTGGGGTTTGGAGTCGCTCCGGCTGCAGGTGGAAGAAACAAACAATATGAGATGAAATGGGCTCAGAGTGTAACAAACACCACCATGTTTTTGTGGTCCATTAAAGACGGACACGTCTTCAATCAGAAGAGGTTCCTTGACAAAAACAGAATATAAAAAACGTGATTGATCGTAACCGGTCCTTTTTTTCAAGATTATTTTCAATTTCAATGACTAATGGTTTCTACTACAACAAATGTGTGTTTTAAAACCGCTTTGAATGTACAAAATGTTCACTGTCTATGACTATATCTGCCACTGCTATAGCATATTTATACCTTCTCTTCTTCCTCATCCTCTTCATCACTGCTCTCCACCTCATCCAGATCTTCCTCCAGAGCGCTGATACGTGGATCTAACATCTCAGCCTCCTCAAGGACGTGTCTTTTCCGTAATACAAGTACATACACACACACACACACACACACACACACACACACACACACACACACACAGGGTTGTGGGCACATGAATCAAGTGGCGTCTGTGAACAGATGAGCCGTAAACCTACCTGGAGGCGGGGCAGAATGATGTCACACATCCTCTCTGCATGAAGAAGCTCATCAATGAACTCGTCCACGTGCATCAACTCAAATTCTAAAACAAAAGATAAAATATTATAGATAGCTCCTTCTGCTCAGGTTGAAAGGAGACTAACAGCAGGCAGAGGGAACCACTTTTTTGATTGCAAGATGTGCATTGTTGCAGTCAGAAATGTTCCTCAATCAAAAACTCACCCCCATTACGGTTCTGATTCTTTTCTTTTCTGTAATCGTTATACAATGGCTCCAGGTATTTGTAGCAATCCACTGCAGTGCCAGTTAACCTCATGTACATCGCTCCAAGTAAACGAACATTTCTGACCAAGAGAGAGAGAGGGGGGGGGGGGGGGGTAGTAGTGTGAGATCCACTAGAAGCAAAGTACAAAACAGGAGACACTATTCATGCTTGACATAGATATGTATTTTACAGTGGCCACGACTTTCTGTCAGACGTCTGTAGTTTCTTTAACATCTCATTCTTTCTCTCACAAAATACCAAACCATAAACCTACAATGCCATACAATAAAAATAGTGTCCCTATCATACACACATTAAACAGTTCAGCCTAGATTTTATATTCACTAAATCACAATTAAAGTGTGCTGACATTTTTCCTGGCGAGACACTACAGAGCCAGTGTTAACTTTTTCTATGAAAAGAAATGAAACTCACTTGAAATCCTCATTTTTGATGAACTCAACAATAATGTCTTTTTCTGGTTGAATCTGCAGCATCTTCAGCGTGAGGCAGAGGAAAGGAGTGGGCTTTATGTTTCCTCCAAAAACTCCACCGACGTACTTCAGCTCCATCGCTTTGTCAACAACAAGCTCAGCTATGGATCACAACAAGTTTCAATAAGCGACAAACTGCACACAAAAAATGTAGGCTCACTATTGCATGCTGTTGCATTAAGATTTGTACGGAAATTTTCCAACAGTACGTGTAAGTGTCAAGCAAATGTATTTAGAGAAGCGGCATTGCACTTTTTGTCGTTTGTCGTTAAACATATAACAAAAATATATTTCAAAGAGTTTGAAAATGTGATGATATTGGTTAGTAAGTTTAACCTAAAAAGCCCCATTTGTCTTACAATGTTGAATCAGATAAATATCTTAGTTTTTTTAGCCTCTGTCAGACAAAAGGAACAGTTGACGTTAAGGTTACAACAGTAAACTTCAGGTTTGTGGTAACGTTAACTAGCATAGTTAGCTTTAGCGAAGTTTTTTTTAACAGGTCTGGAGTATGCAATACTTTAAACATTTCTTAAGTGATTCCAGTGTTTCCGTAAACATTAGAGATAATCCACTGGACTTTCCGTACATTAACAAACCGTACACAGGAAACAGAGGGGTACAGAATCCGCCAGGTTGTCTGTTAACGTTGTTAGCCGAGAGGAAGCTAACCTTAGCTCGCTGGCTAACATGCTACTCACCGGTCAGACCAAAGCACTCCTCTTTCCAGTATTTAGACTCGTAGATTCGAGTCCGGATGATTTTCTCAACCAAATACTGCGGATTGGTCCCGTGTATACTGTTAGCATCTTTAACAGTTCTGTTTGCCATTGGAATGAAAAATGAATTACTCTCCTAGCATGAGCACACCAGCAAAAGCCTGCGATCCAACACCGGAAACTGTTTAAATGACACTTCCTGAATTTGTTTTCAGAATAAAGGTAAAATGAGATAATTCTTCAAATCCTCAGAGTCCGCAGTTGGGTCCCATTTTTCTGCGGAGGCGCAAAGTCCTACCGTCTTAGTTTTTAAAAACAGAACTAATATAAAGGCGCGTGTTCAGGAGTAGAGCAAGTTAAAGCAAATCACGCAATGAACGTATTATTAAAGGGACTTTGAAGACTTTGAAGACTGAGGGACTTTGTATATTTCAACTTGCCTTAAGAGCAAAAATTAACAAATGAACAAATTACTACAAATATGAAACTATATAGTTTTAAAAAATGGAGCCTCCATTATTTAAAACTATATAGTTTAATATTTGTAGTAATTTGTTCATTTGTTCAGTTTCTTACTTTATCTTTCCACAAGACATAAACTTATGATATAATACATCCCGGTACAGAAGAGGGCAGCATTTACCATTCACCTTCCTTCGGCGACGCCATTAATACTAGAGAAGAAGAAGAACGGAAGCTACGCAATTTTCGCGCGAAACCTCCGAATGAAGCTGTGCATTTTCTGGAGACTAACGTTAATTCTGTAAAAGTTCTTTTTTCGATGCGGGTTTTTAATCAACGCTGATAAACGGACCAACATACGTTTTTGTTTTTGTACGCATTATTATTTGTGTTGCTGAGCTCGTGTAGCAGACAGCCAGGACACAGGATGAAGTACTTCACCAGATTGAGAGTCAGGCGAGTCTACGAGTGGCGTGGAAAGCCTTTAAGTTTCAACAGGAAGTTGAAAACCTATGAATATGGGTGAGTACTAAGTTTGTGTCTTTTGGATTTGTACTCCTTTTATATACAGTTGGGTTGTTAAATATACATAACTGCACCATATTCTGTGTGGCGATGCATTTTCATCTGATCCAAGAGGCTTTCGGAAGAGTTCATTATTAGTTTAAGGAGTAACTAACGTTAGTTTAGTGTTTTCTGCGGATAAATACGTACCGTGTTCCTTCACAAATCACTAAATATCACTAACACATGAAGACATGCATAGTTTTCATTGAACACAGGGGATGATGAACTGTTACCTGTCAAGTTGGTTAAGCTGTCACATGTAGTGTGATATATATTTGCAAACAATGTTGGACTTTTTATATCGTATGCATCGTTTTATTCTATTTATCCTTATTTTTCTTTTTATATTTTTTTGACTATCTTTTATTGATTCTTTTGTTTATTCGCTGTATTAACGATCTGAATATGTAAATCTCAGCTCTTTAGCCATCAGCGTGGAAGGTCTGCCGCGGATCACTGTCATTAAGATCGGCCAACACATCCTCATTGAGGGAGAGGATGAGGATAACCCGTATGTGGCCAAAGTCATCAGGCTGTTTGGCGACGGTGAGTCCCGATCACTTGACGCTACACTTGACCTTGTTCCTTGTGGACATGTTGCTGAATCTCTCTCTCTGTCTCTCAGATAGCGGGAAGCAGAAGAAGGCGGTGGTTCAGTGGTTTGTTCGTGTCTTTGAAGTGCCTTTGAGCAAACTGAAGCTGCTGGGCAGAGAGCCTCACCCGCAGGAGATCTTCTACTACCAGGGTCGCAGCTGTGACGATGAGGTCGACGCCGGGTCCATCCTCAAACCCGTGCAGGTGACATTCAATGAGCTCTGAATAACATGCAGATGCTGCTGCCGCTGTCCTGTTGTCCTCTAGGAGCTGGAATAGTGTTTCTTCTTCTACAGGCTCATAAAGTCCACTCATCACGCTGATCGTCTTCTTAGGTTACATGAAACTCTCCCCTGAAAGGCAGAAGTGCAAACTGGTGTTCCGCGTATCTTGCCGATGCTTGCACGCATTGACTCCAGCCCAAATCTCTCTGTTATGTATAAAAAGACTCCAAATGAACACTACTGGTGGCGACATCCTGTACAAAGTCTTACATCCATGTAAGCGTTCGATCATTATAACCGTGACAACTGTAAGTGCGTTTTTGTCAGCTGTGGCAAAAGTCAAACTCGATCCACTCACATCGAGTAGAATCATGTCGTTGTCTTTTCCACCTGCCGCTCGTGAGTTTAACGCTGTTGCTGCACCGGGGGAGAGCTGTGTGTACGCGTTGCTCTCGGCGTGCGGCCAAGTGTTTCACACATGCTTTTCGCTCTATTTAATCAAATGTCCACTGATGCAGATGTGCGATAACAAACCCCCCTACACGGACATAAAACCTCTGGAGGGGAGAGGGACGATGTTTTGTGTGACTACGGTTGAAATAACCCTCGTGGGGGCTTTGTCCTCCCGCTCAAAGGTGACGCACTTGGATGCAGCAGCTCCGTTCCCGGACGCGGGCGACGGGGACGCCCTCTACGTGAAGCTGTCCTGGGACTCCAAGACCTTCAGAGTGGCGGAGCGCTCTGTGGTGGAGTCTGAGCTCGCTCCGGCTTCCTCCCCGCCTCCCCGTCCCACGCCCTCCCTCCCGCCCTCACCGCCGTGCTCCCCGCCTGCAGCGGCTCTGGCGTCCCGGGGCCCCGCTCGACGCGCCCTCCCGACCCCGGACCTCACGGTGATGCGGCGGGCCGCGCAGGGGGAGGCGAGAGGCGGCCGGGCCACCGCGAGTGCGGGCAAGGCCCGCGCCGCCGAGGCGGAGTCGCTCCACTCCAGCACCAAACTGTCGGCCTCCAAATGTCTGAGCGCCAAGAGGAGGAACGCCTCGGCCAGGACGCCCGGCGTGCGCAAGAAACTGGAACTCAGCAGTGAGTGCTGTAGAGAGGGCTCACTCCTCAGCTGCTGCATTGTTCTTTGGCCGATAAAGCTGCAAACTGGCAGCAAGAAAGTGCAATACAGGACTGTTCCGCGATTTAGAAAGCAAACATTCTAATCGACACCCTTTTATTTGGTATTTTTAAAATGTCTTCCTGTCGTGATTTTCCGCCTCGTCCCGTCAGATCCGGAGAGGAATTCGATGGCGGGCGAGGACATCCTGGGCCAGCTGCTGGACGACGAGCTGGAGTCGGTGGGGATGGTGGCTGTCGGAAGGCTGTCTGCTTCCCCCCCTCAGGACCTGTCCCTCACCCCCCGCAGGAGGTCCCGAGGGGCCCCCGGCACTCCGGGGAGTTTCTCCCTCAAGCCCTCGGTCATCGTCCTTCAGAAGCTGTCTCTCTCCGAGAGGACCAGTCCGCCGTCGTCTGCCAGGTGAGACTCAACTGTCCCGCGAAGTCGCACTGCCCACGCGCAAGTCCACACGGGTCGAGAGCAGCCGCAGCTTTTCAACTACAGAAAAGTGCGTAATAGTCCATCTTACAGCCTAAAAGTACAAATAAGAAAGAGAACAACATGTTGCTGAAATCTAACAGTGCAGTGCAAACCTGTATTCCAATGACAAGAAAGTAGCCTCGTCCCGCCCACTATGGAGGACTTAAATCTGAATGAGTTTTTCTTAAATGATTCAGCTCAATTTTATTTGTAAAGCCCATTATTATTTAAAAAAATGGTCTCAGAGAGCTTTAGAATCCAATACAACATACTGCGTCTTCTGTCTTTTGACCCTCACATTATAAACACATGAAAACTCCCCCCAAAAGCCCCTTGAACCTGGAAAGAGCAACGGGGGAGAGATCCCTGTCCCAGGATGGTCGGATGGGTGTCGTGTACAGAAGGAAATGGAAAATAAAATGTTGAGAGTTGTAATAGTTGTCGTAGCACTAATAATGGCAGATATAATATATATAAAAGTTAATGACTGGATTTCTAAATCAACTGTACACTGACAAATATCTAACTAGGTAACTTAATAGGGAAGTAGATGTCTAAATAGACTCAGGTTAGACATCCTACTCTACCATAAATAATTTAAATACATAAACAAATCATTTCCTTTATTTAATTATTTCCGCATTACAAACAGTGTTTAGGATTTAGTTGGAGTCATTGGCTGAATTGTTTTCATCAGCGGAGGATAATCGTAGTCATATTGCCTCGCTTTGGTTTGCCTCTTTGTCTAGAATGGACAAATCAAAGTCTATTTTTGACCATTTCCCTTTTTTTCGTCGTGCTCTGCAAAGGAGGTGGCGAGCAGAGCCCCCAGCGCGGCTTTTGAACTGGTTACAACCAGTTTGAATATGCCGGCTCACTGGTGCTTCTTCTGTTGGATAAAAGTCCTCCGCAGGGTGACGAGGTGATGGAGCCAGAGTCAATGACCGGCTCGCTTAAGACCCCCAGAAGAAGGGCCGCTACGCCGAGGAGGCCGTACGCCACCAGGGAGCAGAAGTGAGTCACCGCGCTGCAGGCCGGGGGTCCGTTTCAAGTAGGAGGGTTAACAAACTCTGAGTTGATTCACCCTGAGATGGGAAACTCTTTTCGGTTTCAGAACAGCCGTTCAGAGTTGGTTTAATGAACTCGAAGTAGGTTCACGCAGAGTTGAGCGCGTGCACTTTTTACATTGTTTGTTAGAACACACAGGCTTGACATACACACCCATGCTCCTATTTAATCACAAGAATAATAGGGAACAAAAATGTCCAGGGAACAAAAAGGTTTAAAATACGTTTCAGAGCGACGCACACGTTTCTCACGGCTCTGCATACAGCAGCTTTACTAATATTCTAATGTTGTAAAGGAAAATGCCGTTTGCAGAAAAACCTACTACACAAAGAATGTGCTCGTATGTGAGAGCATGTCCACGATGGGGGACGTTACTTATATGAGGAAAGGTGAGGTTATGTACATATTTGATGGACTGTGGAGAAAAACGATACTGTTCAAACAAGTAGTCATCTTGAAAAGACAATATATCTAATCGGGACCTCAATATTCTCTCCCGACGTGTTTAACACCCTGCGGAGTAAAACCGCTTCTTCATCAACAGGATCGTCCAGAAAAGGACGTGTCATGTTCCAGAAAACACTTTAGTCTTTAACGTAACATCTTATTTTGTTCATATGTGTAAACTGTGCTAAAATACGCCTGATACAGAGTTCTAGAATGAATGAGGAAAAGCCAGAGTTTCCCTCATCTCAGGGTTAACAAACTGA